TAGACTGGCTTTCAGAGAACTAACCTCTGCAGCCAGGCTCCTATTGGTGTCTTCGAGGCATCGCTCCCGCTCCTTTATACTGTCCCACTCCTCAACACTGACTTTGTAGTATTCGTGCTCTACATGGTGGTGGTGATGGTGGTGGTGGCCATGGGAACGGGAGCGTTTGATGGATACAAATTGGTGTTTGCCACTTGCCGTTGTTTCGAGGTAGATTCGTCGAGACATTCGGGTGTCGGTTTCAACTTTGAGTTTCGGTCGACTTTGTTCGGCACCCACCTCGGCGGCGGTTGCTTGTTCGAATGTGTGATTTTGCTATCCCGTCTTTGACCAAGACAAGACGGGACGCTTCGGCGAGCTTCAAAACGATGCAATGTAAAAACACATCAACTTGAGTGGCAATAATGACTCCTCACAAGAAAGAATCTCAAAGGAAACTGAAAGAAAGGCAGGATAATACCGTCCTAATGTATGATGCGCGGACTGAAAACTAAAATCAGGCAGAATTCTCGATGATGTCTTTGAAGCGAAAGCTAATGAGATTGAGATGAAGTGCACAAGAGAGAGGCACTCGACCACAACAGGTGATCAAAGGAATAAAGAATGATATATTTCTAATGAGAGGCTAAAGGTCACGACAAAGACCACGCTCAAGTGTATCAGGCATGGGTCATCCTTTTGTAAGAGATATTTTGGCCCCCTCGCCTATCCCTACTTACACCTTCTTTCATACTACGGCCACATGCAGAATTCAAAGAAGACAAAGTGTGCCACGCGATCATAGCAGATGGCCGCAAATATGGCCTGCGTGGGAAGTCCCAGTGGTGGTGCATCTGTGGCTGAGGCGTCGCGGCTGGACTTGAAGCTCAGGGTGAGTGAAGACGATGGGACGGAAATGACGGTATGTGGTGAAGTTGAGGCGCCCGGCCCGTCCGCATGCAAGAACTGCTCAAACCACACCCCGGCAGGTCGCCATCCAAGTAAGCGTCTCGATTGCTCACTACGATAGTTATTATTATCTCTTAGAACCTGCAAGATATAGGCAGGCTGTGAAAGAACGTGTGCGCGGGGAACATGGCGGGCGAGAGCACGAGGGTCTGGTACACAGGCACCCATGTCTCAGCTCGATCATATGCCTTTGACCGGAGGCCGCCTTTGTGTGTTTGGGGGGACGAGCCTCCAAATATCTAACAAAGTTGCGGCTGAGAATTGAGCGTCTGCATCCGCCATAGGTCAGCAAAATAGGTCTCTTCAATGTCAATCTGGAAAGGGTTGGAAAGGTTCTGGTATATTTCATGGTGCCGGGTGAGCCATCCGACGGCTCTCAACAGTTCGCGCTCCAGCGGCTGCAACAATGTCGTCAGTAGAAGAATGCAAGGGCGATGCAGGGACAATGCACGATACCCGTCTGCACACTGGCTAGCAACGTCGTGGCCGTCGCCGACTGGATGGCGTTGGACGAGGTCAGGAAACGTGAGGCATGCGGCCAAACGACATCTGGACTGAGCCTTGTGGGCCAGTGCCAGGGTCAGTTGACAGGAGGACACCGAGCTGGTTCGCACTTGACAGTGTGACCCATGTGGTTTGCCCTCCAACCACGTGCACGCCCGATAAAACCCCCAGGCTCTACTCCGTAGGCTGCAGCCCTACAGTGTGAGGAAGAAGCATCAAATGCACATGCATCTTCCCGTCTTGTCACCCACTTGAGCCTTCAGCCACAGGGACAGGTCACAGGGGAGTGATGAACATTGACTATTATTGTTTGGGGTTCGCCTCCGTTCAATGTTCCGATAATAATCCACTTATGGCTTCTGTGCCTTGCGCAAAAGTGGAAAAAGGTTTCGCGTTCCGCCTTTCAGTCCGTCGACTCCCGATATAGACGGAGCCCATCGCTTGCGAATTTTGTTATGAGATAAGTCGTGCCAACGGCGGGGCCCTGAATATGAAACGGTGAGAGTATCCGATTGTCCCAAGGCTTTTGTTTACAACGGGGTTTCTATTTAAACGCAAAGGAGACACCAGGACCACCAGTTGTCACGCATTGTTCCAAATGGCACGGCCTTTGTAGTGTGGCGTTTGACGATGCGCATTTTGCTGGGCTCCTGCACAAAACACCCACAAAGGTCAACGGTACATAAGATTCTCATCAGGGTGGGCGAGATGTTGGATATAAATGGCCAGATTGCCCCAGACTTCGACCCCAGACTTCGACGCCAAATTGAACTAGACACTATTCGACACTTTCTCTATGAATATTTATTCATAAGTACCACACCGTACCAACACGCAACCCGCAAATTATTTTTGCAATCTCATCATCAATCCTGTCTCATGGTTTTGGAACGGGCCCTGCATCTCTGCTTCCCACCAGCCCACGATCCGGTGCAATTGAGAAGCCAGACCACAGGTAGATGAGGAGAGCCATGTATTCCACGACCAGCGCCATCAAGGCAAACAAAACGGTGGAAGAAGCAGTGGGGTAGCCAAACACAGGATCCCAGAGAGTAATTAGAGGCTATTGACTCTGAGAAACATCTCTTCCAGGCCCGTACAGATGTGCAGATGAGCTCTTCCTGAGCTGCAGTCAAGGTTCCTCGGTTTCTCTCACAACCGTGAAACTCCATCACGGATCCACGTCCATGGTGACATCTTTCCCTTCATAGCCTGTTGTATCTGCACCGCCGACATGCCATGAGTCGACAATCGCGGCATTCATATATAAACTCCGGCATATAATCAAAACACTCTTCGCACTGGAAATGGCCCCTTCGAGACTTCCAGCGATGATTCCAGCAGTCATGGTTTGCGACCAGATTATTCCGTTCTTGTTCCACTAGGGCAGCACGGTTAACCCCCTCGATATGAAGGATATCCGCATCACGGTCAACGATGGCATTGGCGCGATCGATCAATCTATGTTCATCCCACTGGTCACAGCTGCAGTTCTTCCACTTCACTCCGCAGACATAGCAGAATTGAGCACCACATCGACAAGCTGGGGTAGTGTTAGTTGGCTTTGACAAATGACGCATCTCGGCGAATAAGCTCACTTATGTGATTGCAGCCAACTTCCAGGTCGACCATTCTGCGGCACGAGTAACATCTCTGCCAGCCATTCTGCGCCGCGACATTGAGCAGGTCCATCGTCGCCACATCTTCAGGACAGTCACCGTCATGAGATGAGCCCTTGCAGATGGTGCAAGTCTTACTTTGGCACTTGACGCACGTTGCAATTTCTCCCCGGATGAATGGCGCCGGAATAAATGTAGAGCAGGTAGCTCTGTGGCAATACGTTCTGTTCTTGGTGGAATACTCCAGCTCCTTGGCTCGATACTGTCCCGCTAACCTTGCTGGGAGGAAAATCTGATTCAGGCCGAGAGGTATAGGCTGGCTGCAGCATCGAGGAGGGAATAGGGACTCGTCGTTGATTGCCGATTGGAACAAATCAGCTATGCACGCACGACAGTATTCATGCGTGCACGGGCACCGTACCGTCTCAAAGTATGGAACATCTGTCATGCAAGCCACGCAACGTCGTTTCTCGATAGCCGCTCTCGAAGTGCTGGGCCGGGCTGCCCGTTTGGACGAGGATGCTGCAGCGGTCCCGGATCGGCCATCTTCGCCGACATACAAGGCCACAAGCTTCTTGACCATGTCGTCCTCAATAGCTGTGTCAGGGGCTGCGGTTCCCGGTCCATGCGTCGACGCTTCGCCATTGATTGCAAGCTCACGGTCACGTTCAGCCTGCTGCTCCTCCGCGACAAGGCTCCGGATGACCTCTCCATCTGTCACGGCAGCATGAGCAATACTGCGGCTCATGGCTTGGTCTACATGGAACGACGCGAGGGACTCGAGCTCGAGCTTGAACAGTTCAGCTGCCAGCTCTCCATCGGGGGTCTCTCCTGCCTTGTGCTTTCCCTTTATTAAGTTCTGGGCATCTTGTAGCTGAAGCTCAATTATTAAGTCAAGACTTGCTTGGTCAAAGGAGTCAAACATGGTGGTCAGTATTCGTGAGTCGTCTTCGGGTCGAGCGTCATCGTTTGATACTTGTTTGCCCTTAGCATCTCAGGAGTACGAAGGCTCCCGATCCCCCACCCAAGCAAGGCACTAGTACTGTCTGGTTGGTGATTAGCTCAGCGGATTATTTACTGGCTTAATGTAGCTTTTGGTGTTAGCTCAAATTTAGGTACTTATCATTTAAGCTAGTTTTGGCGTAAATTTTGAGTACTCGCTTTTCCGTTAACATCCGATTGGACTCTGGCCCCTGCTATGGTGACTCCACCAGCCTTCGCACAGCTCGTGAGATGGAATTGAGGGCGGGAAACAACAATCTGTGAGAAGAGGGGGTGTTTAGTTGGGGACTTGTTAATGGGTAGGACAAGCTATCAAAGGCATGCCAGCATGCCGTGTAACAGAGGAAACATGTTAATTACAATCTTTGAAACGACTTCTGGATACTATTCCCGTCGAGATTATCACATCTGCAACCGGACTGTCCGATAATAGGAGGTGATGGACGATGCCGAATTTGATAGCCTGGCTTGATGCATCTGGCCAAGTTGCGGCATCAGGCACTTGAAACACAATGACGCGTAAACGTTTTTTTTTTTTTCTTTCAGCAAGTGTTTCGAAGCTCTGTGCCCATCACACAGCAGATATCTGAGGTCGCGACGATCACCAAAATTTTAAACCGGTAGGCAAAGCTGAAGAGGAAGAGGGATTAGATGGCTTCGGTACATTTTCATGATGCCATTCCTGGAACAGGGACGCGAGCTATGCGTGTATTTGATAATGGCGCCTTGATACGCGAGAGCCATTAATACGGCCTAATAATCAAGGACAAACTATGCCAGAGGATAAATCCTTCACCCCGTCAACACAGCCAGATACAGAATCGGTACGTCAAATTCGAACAACATTGTTAAGTTGTTAAACTACATGTACTTCCTGGCGAGCTCACTATTGTCCTTATTTAACATGGCTAGAATATGAATATTGTACTACTTTTCCAAGGGAGAGCTGGGATGTTGCTGTGTGAGGTCACTGATTTGCTGTTCAAGTCTCTTGTCCTCGCACTCTATCTCGTGTACTCGTTGCAGGTACTGTCGCTCCTCTGCTAATATTACACGTCTCTTCTGGAGGGCCTCTAGCCGGGGAGTATCTTGATCTCCGTTTGCGGCTGTTGTTGTCTGCATATCATCTAGAGTCTGACACTTCATTCTGTCTGCTCGTGGGGGACCTCGAGGGGAGCCAGGAGGAGCTGCATTGGGAAGAGTTTGGCCTCCCTCTGGCGCTGAACTCCCCCGCACCATTCGGAGAGGAGTCGAATCTATTTCGTAAACTTTTCTACTCAACCCAGCAGGCGCTGGTTGCCGTGGCACGTATAAATCCATCTCGTGGGCCATCTCTGTCGAACCTAATCCAAACTATATTAGATGTTTCTCGTCCTGGCGCTGCACTAGAAACATGTGAGAGAAGAGCATACCTAACAGCTCATTATGCCCAGACCGTATAGGATGGCCATCTTTCTCTTCCTCCAACGGTCCATTGCGGACTTGATCTGAAGATGCCCCGGGTCGGTGGCGTCGACGGTAGCACCAGAATGCCCCCATGAGAGAGCCGAGGGCAGCTACAACGGCGGAAGTGATGGCTAAGACGAGACCGGTAGAAAGTCCTGAGTTTCCAGAGGCTGTCGATATTGCCGTTGAACTCTCGGTTGGCGTACTCGCCGGAGCGCTTGTCGGAGTGCTCGTCGAACTGCTGGATGGGACCGGCTGCGATGTCTGTGTTGTTTGGCGCCAGCTTGCAGATTCTGGCGCGTCAAAGGTGGCCTCGGAAAACGATCCAGGATGTACATTCTGACAGCGCCAGTCAATAATAGACTGAGCCCTGAGGAGGTCGGCGGCAGAGCATCCGGTTTGGGTAGCACACTGAGCAACGGGGTCCACGAGTTTGGACTTGGTGCGAGGCCGGCAGAGACAAAAGGCAATCTCCTTATCCATTCCCGTGCACCCAACTTCAGGCAGTGCCTTTTGGATACAAGACCGGGCACAGGGAGCCATCTGGAAGTGGCTTTGCACCAAGGCGATGCCAGCCGCGACCGCGACCACAACCACGGTTACGGCTTTCATGCTGAAACTAATGGGAAGATGTGAAGTTGCGAAAGCTCTAAAAAAATGAGGAATAGGGGGGCTTGGGTAGACATAATGCTTTGCGGGTTTGTGGGCGGCACTTGGAGGATAGGAGTGAAACAAAGGCTGATGATGACTTGGTCGAAATGACTTGTCGAGGGAAAACAACAGTCGTATCATATTGTAGAGCACGGCAATGTTGTAGGCTACAGGACATGCAAGACCTACAGGACCCTGCCTGACCTGTGGGCATCTTTAGCCTTGTTACAAGAGCCTAATTGGATAATTCCCGAGCGATTGGCTTTGTGTCACGCCTCGTGTAAGCAAAATGTTCCAGAAGTAAGCGCGTGTTATTGCTATCTTCAGCCGACAGGAACCAATCTTAATTCCCGATATCTGCGGGACGTGAAAAGGGCTGCATGTTGGGGTCTTGGTGCCCTGTGCTGCATTCTCCCCGTCTTTGTGCGCAGTATCTTTGATTGCGTTGGCTGTGCCTGGACGTTGGGTTCTGAGACCGGGCCATACGGGATAAACAATAAGCTCGGAACCTGAGACACTTTTTCATTTTTCTTATACGACGCTGCACCATAATGAGTACCTTGCTCTAATTAATCTGTCGCAGGAGTAAACAAGGAGACATTGTAGCCTTGGGAAGATGGGGAATGAACAGAGTCTCGAGAACATGAGGAGTGAAGCTTCACCTGGCGCCTGGAGACTGACGTTGATGCTGGGTGGTGAGAAGGTATGCAAAGGTTGAAGCAACCAGTGAACGATCCATTTACCGGGCAATTTTGCAAAGGCATGTCGTCGACTGTGCTGGGAATATTCTTGATGGCTGGAAAGGGGAATAGCAACTGTAGAAGTCAGCCCCGAATCATACATCCAGAGTACGGGGTGTTTTGACGCCTGATGAAATGGGATCAATCCCAAGATCAAGTCCATGTCCAGACGATGTCAATCGTACTTAAGTAGGTACGTACCGTAGGGCTGGGGTTACGGACGACAGGGGGCAAATTCACGTTTCGGCGGGAGATGTCTGTGGTACCTTCCAAAAAGGGAGAGACCCCTACAGTACGATTAGCTCCACGCCACCCAGGCTGCAGAAAACCACAACGCATCTCACAAAACATTTCTTTTCTACGAATCTTCACTTTTGCGGCGGAGACCTGCAGCTGCTGAGCATTCAGAAATTGATCAAGTCGTTGCTCAGGAGAAAAATTCTAAGCACCTCGCAGTGCAAGTTTCGGTTCTCTTGAGTTTTGCAAGTCTGGAGTTTTCGCTGAACCGAGCCCCGAAGTTGTCAACGTTTCACTCCAAGGAGGCGAAGATCTTGGGCATCCTGATGGCACCACAATCCATTGCGACGTTTCTGTCATTGCTAGACCGAAGAAGTCGAGAATTGGAGCTGGAGTATGTCATCGTATACCCGAGTACTTGGTGACAGGCTTGCACCTGGTTGACTCAATGCTCAACGATGAGGTTTCCCACCTCATCATGAAACCTCATACCACATCGGCGGGCTCGTCACTGTCCTAACCAACCGTACAAGCCTGGCCTGATATTCTGACTACATCAATGCGTGCGGCTGTGCTGCTTGTTATCTGATCATGTGGCTAATCAGCTGGCCCAGTAGCCTTGGGTGGCGGCTGCAGATACAGCTCAGCTCAACTCAGCCCAATAATTTTAGCTGCATGCTCGAAACGGTCATATTAGAATACATCGTGACAGCAGGTCCCCGAAATATTATCTCGCCAAGCTTCAAATCAAAGTCAAAGTGCAATCGTGAGATATGCGTCTGCTAAATGTTCACAGCCTCGAGCTCAAATATTTTGTCGGCGAGCCTGGTTATGGCGTCCCCCAATATGCTATTCTCTCCCACGTCTGGGGCGACGACGAGATTTCTTTCCAAGAAATGACCCAAATTGTACACCTCTCGACGCCAGCTTCGCGGAAAGGGCTTCAGAAAATCCTTGGCTTCTGCGATAAGGCGAAATCTGACGGCCACAGCTGGGTATGGATCGATACCTGTTGCATCGACAAGTCTTCCAGCGCAGAGCTTTCCGAGGCCATCAACTCCATGTTCAACTGGTACAGAAACGCTGCGACTTGCTACGCTTACTTGGTCGATGTCGCAAGCGACGAGGACCCGGCAGGACCGCAGTCCGCGTTCCGATCAAGCAAGTGGTTTACGCGCGGTTGGACACTCCAGGAGTTGCTCGCGCCCTTCGAGGTAGCATTTCTCGCACGGGACTGGCGTGAACTTGGTGCAAAGTCTGATTTGGGCTCCATCATTACAGAAATTACTCGAATTGATCAACAGGTACTGTCAGCCTGTGTTTGGGATGACGTTAGCGTCGCAGCCATCATGTCCTGGGCTGCAAATAGACGTACAACAAGGGTGGAGGATGAGGCATACTGTCTGATGGGATTATTCAACGTGAACATGCCTCTCATTTACGGCGAGGGACGAAACGCCTTTTATAGGCTGCAACTGGAAATCATAAAATCTTCAGACGATCAGTCTATTTTTGCATGGACGTGCGAGCCTGAGGGGCCATTTAGATTTTCTCTTTACGAACAAGACTCGAGGCCACTCGGAATGTTGGCAACATCTCCCCGAGCTTTTGCCAAGTGTTCCACCATTGCAGACACATATCTCCATACGGATCACGATATATCTTTCGATATCGAAAAACAGTTCGTTCGATTGGTTGCTGCAACCATGAAACTATGTCGGGAGGTGAATATGGAAGGCAAAACGCAACTTATACCTGTCTCTTTCGTTGTTCCTACGGCAGCCCAGTCACACCCAGATGGCGCCGTGATTTCCATGACAGACGTTATCAAGTCCTGGCCACGGCAGATTCCTTGGGGCCATGTTCACATAGCTATTCTCCGATGCACAGATGAAGAGGGTCACGTTGTTATTTTGATGGAGAAAAAATCTGACGGCAAGTACGAGAGGATCGGCAGCCCCCGTTTGCCATGGCTCAGAGCTCTTGTCACCGAGAATAAAAAGTCAAGTCAGACCATGCATATCCGTGCTCGAGCAAAACAAGATGCATCAAAGGGTAACAGAGACAGCCTCCGGAATTTCCACAATGGCGCCAATGGAGCAGTTATCAAAACTATACCCAGCTCGGGGTATATGATTTCACACAGCCGACCTGCCAATTTTACGCATTTCCAAGGAAAGACAATCTCATATTTGGATATGAAACTTGTTGGTTCTAGTATAAAGAAGGCGATTGGGGTGGTCACTCCACTTGTGCTCTTCTTTCGACATGCACAATCGGCCGAGCATTCTTCTTTTGCAATTCGTTTTGACCGTGTAGGGCCATATGGAAGCTACCTTTATAAGATCAGCTTTCGCGTTGGAGTGACTGTGTGGGAGGATGACGACAATGACAAGCAAAACCCCCAGAAGGATGAAAACGGAGAGACCGCCCAGCCACCCATGTTCTCACCAGGCTCGTCGCAAGTCAGCTTCCCGATATCGACTGACTGTGTCCTTAGGCTTCGTTATCGAAGGACAGCTCCCCTGTTTGAAGACTTTGTCAATGTGTCCATCGAAACTCCACTCCCCTGGCAGCATGTTCTGGAAGATCCTCTGGCAGCCTGGCCTGTTTTCTTTGCTCATAATTTCGGGAGAAACGTCGAGAACTTGGCGCAGTTTGCTCCGCGGGACAGGGTGACCCGGACCACGACGTTGTGTCACCCGGAAGATCAACAAGATCATGATACTACTACCATAACAGGCTTGTCGGAGCCAAAGAGATCAATGAGCAAGGCGCCGCCACTAGCGGGATCGTCTCCAGGCTCGGCAGATGTCAAATCGGACTTGACGGGGGCCGCGCTGTCTGCAGACTGTGCGGTTTCGGATACATTGCCTGCAAAGCCAACACAGCTCGAGTAGTTGCTTTGATGACAAATCGTCGGGATGCGGCGTATCCTTTCCGAGCAACATGATACTCTGCATTCGCTGCGGCTGCAGCGACATGGAGGACTTGCAAAGACGACTTGTCATGGAAGGCAGTGAGAACTTGGAGCTGAAACACTTGTGTTGCACCGAGCCAGAACAAAATGCCACAGGTTATTGCACAGCACCGTTCTGGAACAGGATACCCCGATGCGTACCAGGTTATAACAACAACGCCCACATACTTGCTCTAACAAAGAATCCGTGACCACTACAGAAGCGAACTCGGTTGAATCTGAGCCGAGATTAACCGCGGCTACTGGGCATTATCAACCCAGAGGGCGGCACAAGGAGGTCAAGAGACCACATGAAAAGTTACCGGCCACGCCCAATTGGTGTGTAGGTTTCCTTATCTCGCCCGCCAAACGATGGGATCTTTACAAGGGCGCAAGTGGCGCACGCATGATATACTTTCGGTGAAAGCGGGACGGGCTAGGACCGGGCATGACCACTTATTCCCACCAATGCTCCGGCTTCGGGGGTTTTGGACGGCGCCAAAGCAAGGGTTGACGGCCACGGACAACAACTCCTTAGCAACTGGAAGTGCAGCCCGAGCACGCTGGCCCCTTCAAGGTTGTATTTAGTCATGCCTCGAGTTTGGCGATCCAGCTTCGGCCCCACGCGCCGCTGTTTGGCAGTGGAAACGGCCCCCATGCCTCACACAGTTGCCGAGCTTTTTCTCCATGCCTGTGCGACTACTTAAATTCCTCCTCATTTCCGGACGTAGGCTTTGTTTAAGAGGGTCTGCTAGATTCGCTTCTCCTTCACTGCCCTCTGCCAACGTTGCTCGGCTCGGCCTTGCCATGTTCTCCTGTCCACGTTGCTAGCCAACTTGAACACAAAGCGACCTGAGTCTTGCCTTTGACTTAATATAATCTGGTTTCATTAACGTTGCAATTGTCGTGGTGAACTGTTGTATTAGATGACCCCTTCATCAGTCCATCATGGTGCCCACAGGCCCTACAGAGACAAACAACATAGATGTTGGACTAGATGAGCGTAAGTCGAGTCCTCTTTAGCTCTCCCAAACCCTTGGGGATTAACCTTGTTTAGACGGAAGAAGAGAAATAGAAGGCCATCCCCTTGGCCAAATACAGAGTATAAACGAGCAAGATGCTCAAGACCAGTATGCCATCGAGTCAATGGATTACGGCGACGGCATCCTCTCTGGTATCCGCTCCAGGACACGGAGTCACACCGACCATATCATCATCAGCTGGGAAGTCGATGATCCGGATAATCCTCACAACTGGTCAACGGTACAGTTTTTCTCGTCTCCAACCCACAACCCTGCCCCAGGATCCTCAAAATCAATCTGACCTCTACGCCAGTCCCGTAAAACTTTTGTCGTCCTGGTTTGTGTGATGCTCGTCCTCAACTCCACCCTGTCCTCTGCCCTCCCCAGCATGGCCATCCCCAACATCACAGCAGACTACGGCATAAGCGATACTACGGAAAATGTTCTACCAATTAGTGTTTTCCTGATTGGGTACATATTTGGCCCGCTCATCTGGGGCCCCCTGACGGAACATTATGGGCGAAGAAACCTCACCGTCGTGACGTTTGTAGTCTTTACACTATTCACGATGGCTTGTGGCTTGGCACCGAGCTGGGGGAGCTTTCTCGTGTTTAGGATGGTTTGTGGTGCGTGTGCGGGAGCGCCAATTGCCATTGTGGCCGGCATATTGGCCGACGTTTTTGGCGATCATAGGACTAGGGGGAGGGCGTATGCTGTTTTCATGGTGGTGAGTATTCCTTGGAGGCTGCGCTTTCATTCTCTCTTCTGCTACTCTACCTTTGAGTTAACTAGGTAAAAATAATGTACTCATCGTGACGACTTAGGCTACCCTATGGGGACCCTTGTTCTCTCCCATCATTTCAGGCTACACATCCATGACCATCGGATGGCGGTGGGCGTTCTGGATTGACCTCGTGTTCGCCGGCTTCACACTTCTCATCATAGCCTGGCTCCCAGAGACGTTTGGCCCTATCCTCCTGGCGCGACGGGCCCAAAGGATGCGCAAACAGGATCCCGCCCAGCGCGTCATCGCACCCCGAGAGCTGGAGGAAACGAGCCTCAGTCAGCTCCTCACCGTGGTCATTACCCGACCGATTCGCATGCTGGCCTCTGAGCTCATTGTCACGGCCACATGCGCATACCTGGCTCTCGTTTACGCCATCTTCTACATGTCCTTTCAGGCTTTCCCCATCATCTTCCACGACTTGTATGGCCTCAACCCGGGCGAGACTGGTCTGACATATCTCCTCATCGGAGCAGGTGGCATGGTCTCCCTTCCTGTCTTCTGGTACTGGGACGTAGCTCTTGCCAAGGCCCAAGTTCGGGGCTCGTCGTGGTCGAAACGCGAAGAGTCACGGCGCCTCCCGCTTGCGTGCATGGGCGGCCCTCTCTTCGTCATATCTCTCTTCTGGTTAGGCTTCAGCGCAAAGACATCGATTCCCTTTGTGGCGCCCATGCTTGCGGGCATCCCGTTCGGAATGGGATACATGCTCATCTTCATGGCGCTGCTAAACTACTTGACGGATTCGTATGAGATTTTCGCCGCGTCCGCCAACGCAGCTGCTTCGTGTTGCCGGTCCGTCCTCGCTGTCGTTCTGCCGCTCGCAACGACACACATGTTTCGAGAGCTGGGGATTGCGGGGGCATGCTCGCTCATTGGGGGGTTGAGCGCCGTGATGTGTGTCATTCCGTTTATTTTCATCTGGAAAGGGCCAAGCATTCGGGCTAGGTCGAGGTTCTGCATTGCGTTGAGGGAGCAGAAGGAGGAGATGCAGAGGAGAGCGGATGCGCAGAGGGCGAGGTTGGAGAGGATGAGGGCAGGTAAGGAGAGAAGGGAGAGTGTGAAGGAGGGCAACAAGACAGAGGAGGTCTGAAGATATGGGGATTTGGCTAAAAGTTTGGGTGCATTTGGGAGCGAGGCTCTTTCTTCTTGTTGCTGTTGGCGTTTGATTTCAGACGTGTCATTTCATCAATACACACTTGAATTCCCAACGATGTACGTTACCTTGTTATCGTCATCGCCCATCCCGTCTCAATTCCAACGATAACATCCAATACGTCAACCTCGTCCGTTCAAGGTACCTAGTCTCCCAATATTTAGCTGATGCCGCCAGCACATAATCTACGCTCACGATACAGGATTCAGACGCGCCCTTTAGTACTCACAGCCGATACAAATCACACACGGTCCCCTCCCCTGCATCCCGCCCATATCGGACCACACCTTCCTCCGTGACCTACAACAATCGGCCTTGCAGCACCTCCGCTACGCACAATAGTCGTACGGCCTCTCACGAGGGTCGGCACGAGACCGACCGCGACAGAGATGGCCGACGCAGTAACGCGTCCCCGGCCCGGCGGCAGCAACAGGCTCTTGTACGCCTGCCATGCCCCGGCCTAATCCTACTGAAAAGAAAACTCGTCAGCGCAAAGACACTCCTCCAAACCACTCCCAACATCCTCACATATAAAGAAACAGAAGGGGGGAGGTTGCCTTACGCTCTCCGCAATGCCGTCCAGCAACACCGCTCCGCGCCTCTCGCCTCCTCAAACACCCATCATCAGGACATCCGCCGCGCGAGTCACCACAGCACCGAGACGGAAAAACATCATCCCTACACGCATGTTCTTGGCCAAACGCGTATCCGCCATGGCTGTCGTCACAGCCCCCTGGGCGACAAGCGTGCCGCTCGCAAAAGATACCCTCCCCGCGACGACCCCAATCACAGCACGGCTCATGACAGACGTGGACGGCGCAGAACCGTCCCGCCGCGGTCCTTTCATCGCAGCAGCCGACCTGGCAGCAGTGAATGGCGCAGCATGGCGCCAAAGCACCGTTTTGCAGCGGGCGGCGTGGCCGCGCGCACTCGTCTGCCAAGCACTGCCTTTCACCAGAGCACCGGTGGCAGGCGCCGTCCCGGGGATCTTGCGCCGGGCCGGGGACGACGGCACACGTGTGAATGGTGCCGTGGCGGTTTGCGCATCCCTCGGTTTGGCAGCGGTGGGCGTGGCAGTACTGCAGGTCTTTATCGCCCTGCCAGACCCGTGCGTTCTGGCATCTCGGCTCTACGCAGGCGTCTATGACGGGGAGCGTCTTAGTGTCTTTGTTGGCCAGGGAGCGGTATATGCATGTGTGCGTGTGTTTTTGTCTTACGGGTCTCTTTGCAGTATTTGTATCTGCTGGCGTTGAGGTCTTGCACGTGGTTCGGGCAGCGCTCTTGGCCGATGGATGCCGCGCATTGGACATCTGCCACGCCCGTCAGCACTTTGAACGCGAAACACGTCCTTTTTGAGAATTCAGAGAAGGGCGAGATGGCAAGTCGGAAGTGGGAATTTTGAATACAGTTCAACATACGGTGCAGGCAGTATTTGCCCTCGCGCCCCTTTGGGTTTCCGCATAGGGAACCGTCGTCAACGCGCCGGCAAGAATGCTGCTTGCAGTACAGCGACTCGACGACGCCCGCGTCCTTGATCTCGAGAATCCATAAGTCCTGGCCGCAGGTGCCGTTGTCCGCCGGGCACCGGGGCGTCCTGTCTGCACAGGCGCAATTGTCCCGAAGGTACATGTACTGCATATTGCGTTAGTCAGCACGTCACAGGTTTCGTGGCCTAGTTGGTTTCAGGTTTTATGGTCTAGTTGGTCATGATTTCTCGCTAACAACGATTTGCTTGGTTCCCGAGAAGGTCCCCGGTTCGAGCCCGGGTAAAACCACACGATTCTTTTTTTGAATAATTCGCAGAGCTTCAGAAACAATTTTTTACGCTTGTTTTTTTTTTTTTTTTGTTGATTCGAGATGGGCTGTAGATTGGGTTGCGGTTGTCAAGGACAGCAGTGTATGGTATTACAGTAAGATTGAAGTGTCTACGGAGCAGTCAGGGGTATTTAAAGACGGTCAGATGAGGAGGGCTCCAGAGCAGTTGGATAGGGTCGAGGTTGGACGGGGGATGACGATATCAGTTGCGGCTGTGTGTTCTTGCAACGAGGCTAGATACATGAGTCCTCAACCAACAATACAACCACACGCGCCTATCCGTCCAACACATTACAGCCCAAAGCCCCGGGAACATACATGTATCAAACGCCATGAGAAGCTTCCCTGCCAATCACCATCCCCGGCCAAAGCTCGCACCGGTGCGGACCGTTCGTAAACAGAGTCGATGCCCTCGTACAAGGCACGTACTCGCCAAGTATTTCCCTCCCCCCTTCCGTTACAAAACCTCGGGCCCAAAATTTTCGGAGCCCCACGATTTTATTCTGTTCACGCTCATATTGTAGATTTGACAGCCATATGACACCCTTGACGCCTAGTAACTATCGTGTTCCTGCCCCTTCTCCTCTTCCCGTACATTGGTATCATTGAACAGTGAGAAACATGACACACGCCTCCGATTGTAAAGACAAGAGGGAGAAAAATAAAATAAACAAGAAAAGGTATACCGTCACGAAATATTCGTGTAGCTTTTGGACGATCCCTCCTTTGCGCCGAGTGCCTAAGAAAACTACACGTCATCAGCTCGCTTGGCTGGTTCATCATAAGTCGTCCCAATAAAAAGGTTCTTCATTCATACACTAAAGTCGTTCCGACCAGGGCTTCATATGCACGGCCATGGTCACACGCCGGGTGTGACTCCCCCTCCTTCGTACAGGTCTCATGATGCTAGGCTCTGTGCCACAACGGCTTGCAGACCTTCGAGGAGAGCTACTTCCGCTGCGTTGTCGTCTTGCTCTTGTTGTGTTGGGGAGTCGGGTTTTGGTGCTTCCGGAGGCGGGGCCGGGTCTTGTTGAGGTGCTGGTGAGGGAGTCGGGGCAGGTTGGGTTTGCGGTACGGGTTGAGCAGCTGGCGGAGATACTTGCGGTGAATGGGCATGTGCAGGCGAGGTTGAGGGTTGAGGCGGAGCGGCAGCCAGAGGCGTACTTGTCGGGATAGGTGTTGTCGCGGGCTGTGTTGTCGGAGCATGCTGCTGGGCGGCAGCCGGCTGCGGTTGTGCTTGTATGTCCGGTGTTGGCTGTGGCATGGCAGGTGTTCGTGTCGGTTGCTGTGCTTGCTGCGCTTGTTGTGCTGGCTGTGTCTGCTGAGGCGGAGATTGATGCCCCTGCTGATGATGTTGTGGTTGCCCCTGTGGTCTGGGAACTTGAGGCGGCAGCTGTGCTTGGGGTCGGCTGTTTGCTTGGGCAACAGGGTGTGACAATTGCTGCGTGTTCGCCTGGCCACCTGGACGAGTTTGAGAAGCCGGAGTCGCCATCGGCCTTGGCACCGACGTCGCTTGAGCCCCTTGGCCAGCCGCATTGGCTTGGTGCCCGACATGATGTTGTGCAGACGAAGCTGCGTGAGCTGCCTGTGCCGGCGTCACAACTCCAGATCCAACAGCACTGGCAGGGCTGGCCGGTGTTCGACCCTGCGGTGGGTGTTGTAGACCACCTGCCAGGGCCATGATCCCCTGAAGCTTTGCCTGGTCTTCTTCAGAGTTAAGCCTGGCCCTCTCCTCGGCTTCCTTTCTCGCCGCTTGGGTCGGCGCACGCGTCTTGAGTTCACCGGTAACGGCTTGTAGATAGTAGGGCATTTCGGAATTGGTCTTCAGGAAGAAGAGCTTGAGATTTCTTGCCTTATCCTTCAGCTGTACCTGCGTTCTATCCTTGAGTATATCTGATATGGTGCCGTTTTGGCCAAACAGCGTCAGGATCTGGCTCCAATGGGGTCCCTTCACCATGTCCAAGCCAGCCATGAGCGCCTTTTCTTCTTCTTGGGTCCAAGGCCGACGCGTTGAATGGATGCCTTCTCTTCGAGTGTGCGCAGACGACTTTGAGAGGGCCGCCTGGCGAGCCTTGTCATAGAGTATGGCGCTGGGGAACGTCTGGTTCGGCGGTAGGTTCTCACCAGGCAAGGGAGGTTGCTGCGGCTCGGGAGGTGGCTGATTGTAGGGGTAATATGTATGTTGTGCTTGATGATGTTGTACTGGTGTCTGGTAAGGTGGTTGAGCAGCCATGCTCTCAGCTATTCAACCTGTTAGCAAGATGAGAGGGCGTGAGGTAAAGAAGAAGGACTGACTGGTACTAGTGGGAACGGTAGGTTGGTAGGGGATTGGTGAGAGTCCGTGAAGCGTAGTCTTGACGTAGTTGGAAGTGCTTTCTGCAACGAGAGCCTCGAGTTCTTTGTAGTCCGTCGTGAGATCAACCTTGCCATTGGTCTGTGCCGAGGCGGCTTCCGACTTATTCTCCGTGCTTGCAGTCTGGGCTGCAGCTTCTCCTCCTCCCTCTGTTGAAGTTGTTGTTGGCTCGTCTTTCAATTCCGCCAGGGCATTCTGAACAAGGCCAGAAGCCGTCTTTTCAAAGAACGATGACAAGTCGTCCAAATCCAAATCAGCATCTCCTGTGGCTTCCGGAATCGGTTCCGGTTGTGGCCCGCTGTCGCTAATCTCTATCGTAATTCCCAACTTGTCGCCTACATCTGTGAGTGACTTGAGGCGGCCGGTGGTGTATTCCAAAAAGCTCCGTAATAGGTCTTCGGCAGGGTGTTTCTCCCTTAACGCCGCTGCACACAGACTATTAGCCCAATCAAATCAACTTCAAAATGGCCATACCAAAGCTTATGCATACCTGGCTCTGGCTCTTCCTTTACCTCCCCTTGAAGCGTTTCTTTCCTTGTTTGGACTGAAGACACAAAGCTCTGATCAGCAGAGGTCAAATCTCCTCCGCCATGCTGCTCCTTCAGGGTATGCACAAGTCCCTGGGTCAGAACCTCTCCAATAACTTCCTCTGACGGCTTTTCTGGCTCCTTCTCAACGAGGAACTCTATTGCTCTCTGCGTTTTAATACCCAAATACAGTTCCGTCATTCCAGGTGGCAGTTCGGACAGTTGGCACTGGAACATGGCGAGAAAGTTTTCGTCAGCTTCGGAGAGAGCTTTGGGAGTTCCATCAACTAGCCATGATCCCAGTTGCGCAAGGTTCGCCAGTTCGATAAAAGTTCGCGAGTCGGAATCTCGAAATTCGAGTTCGTTGGCAGATAACACTGGTCCGGACGAATACATTTCGTGAACATGCTCAAAAGAAGACTTGAGCTTGCGGAACGTTTGCTCATGCTGTGAATCGGATCCCCGAACCAGTTTGATGGTATCTTCAAAGGGTGATTGCACGAGAACAAGTAGGAGCGACAAGGCCTGGCGACGCGCCGGTCAGTCGAGAGGTTCGTCCCGGGCAGTGCATTGACTTACAAGGGTCCCGAGCGCATGGGCATTGGCGTCGCGAATGAACTTTCGAGGGTCCGATACAAATGTCGCCCGGACAGCAGGAGGTTCAGGCAGCGGTATTGTCGTATCAACCTCCATGGGATCTGATGCGGGCAGTTCTGGGGCTGATTCATGTCCGCTCGTGAATTGGTCGACCAGGTCGCCAACATTTGACAGCGCATTTTGTACTAATAGTGCAAGTCCATCTTCGAGTGAAGCTTCTTCGGTTTCGGTCTCGGTCTTTGCTCGTTTGGCCTCCGGTGTTTCGGCAGTGGCGCCGACGGCCTCCTCGAAGGGTCGTTTTGAACCGAGTTCTGGCGGCAAAGCGAAGTCGAGGCCCTCTAGACCGGTCGGTTCGTGTTCTTGTTTGATATCTTAAGAAAAACACGTTAGCATACTTGCTCTCTCTCTCTCTGGCTGAGGTCCCCTTGCAAGACACTCATCGCATTGGCATCATGCGCGCGTCATTTCGGCCGGACTGGAGATAGATAGATACCTGTCGCCATAGAGAAAGCGCTGGCCTCGGCTAACGCTGACTCGGCCATGATGCCAATGGTGTTGATTGAAACAGCAAGGAATGCATGCGACAGCGTATCAAGTTGTGTCCTGTCGCAAGATTGGCGGGATCGTTAATCGTTTTGCAACTCGTCCTGGATCTCGGCTGCAAAGGCGGGCGACCAACAATGAACCCGGCGCTTGCAGCCTTTGGAATGGCGGGCGGTCCGAGAAAATTTGCTGAGTCAGTCACCCGATTGCCCTTATATCGTGCCCCAAATTTCTGCCGGCTCAGATACACAACCAACACAGGATTAGACAAAAAATTTATTCGTCACAACCAAATTTCAAAATTGGCCGGCTCGCTGCGTGACGCGTGATGATATGTACATCCCGCTACAGTGGCTAATTACGTGGTGAATTGACCATTGCTGCAATCGGTTTTGTTTTCTTATCATGCCATGTCTGTCTGACTCTTGCGTTTGCTTTATTTCTTCCTCCTCTTACTCCGTAATGGTCATGATGGTCTAGTTGCCTAGTCAGCATCTCATCCTCCACAGCCAACCAGACCTTATTAATCCATGCATGTAACCTATAATCTCCCCGAGTTGAGTCGCCAATTCATCATCAAATTTCGCTATCTATAATGTCTCGTACATGCAACTCTTCAACATCCATGAGGTACATACATGTCACTCAACAAGACTTATGTGTGGACACAGACATAATATATATGTACCAAGAAATCTCGCCACCACAGCGCTTGCCAGCAAAAGTGCAATTCTAGGGGCAACAAAACCATTGCAACATGAACTGAGTCAGGGCAAGATTCACTAAGGAATGCAAGCTTTCCGCAAGGTAACTTTGCCTTACAATGCGAGCGCGAGGACCAGCACAACGGCCGCAATGCTAGCGCCAGCGGCAGTGATGTGTCTGTCAGGAGAAGCAGCATTGTCCTCGTCCTTCTTGCTGCCGCCACTACCATTTCTGTCACCGTCATTGTCACTACCACTGCTGCCGCTGCCGCTGCCACCACCCTGGCCATGGTTGCTGCTGCTGGTGCTGGTGGGCTTCGGCTTATCTGATGGGCTTGCTGAGGCACTGGCTTGGCTGGTAAAGGTGCCAGTCAAGGTCTCGCCGAGCGTTGGCAGCTTCACATTTCCATTCACCTGCCACCATCCGTCTGCAGTTGAAGTTGGGCAAGATCGAGTCGACACTTGCTTGGGATCGTAGTCTTTCTTCACCACGCCAGTAGGGTGCATACTGGCCCATTTGGTCTTGAGGTTGTCAAAGTCAGGACTGATTGGGGTCGGAGTGCCTTTGCGAGTGAAGCCGTCAAAAACGTTCTCGCCCGGCTGGGAAGCGTCGCCCTTGGGACCGTATGAAATGAGGCCGTAGTGGTTTTGTTCCTCAATCCACTCGTAAATGATGGCACCGCTCCAGTCATCAACCATGGGCTTGGTAAAGATGGCATCCTGATCATCCCACTTTCGGGGGCCGGGAACATTGCAACCTGTTTCACTAAAAAAGATTGGAACGGGGAAATTCTTGGCGTATTCTTGTAGCTTGTCGTAGCTAGACGCTTCGAACGTGCTGGGGTCGCACCAAGAATACGAGTTGAGAGCGAAGAAGTCGACAATTTCAGATGAATTTCCTCCGCAGGTGAGAAAGTCTTGCAGCATTGGGCGAAGTTGCACAATATCCGCGGCCGAGTAGCCGATGGGGATGTTGCGATAACCCTTGTTTTCCCGGTAGACCTTCATATCACGAGCAGCGGCCTTGAGGAACGGAGCTGCTGGAGAATCGTCCTTCTTTGCAATATTCTCGTTGCCAACAAAGAAGCCTAGAACATTGTCGTAGCTATGGAAGGCGTCCATAACTTGTGAATACCTTTCATACTGAGTGGAGTTCCAGTAGAGATCCTTCTACAAGACTGTCAGACATGGAGATGCAAACGCCGTCACTGCCGCCAATTCTATGGGAGTAACTCACGGCCTCAATGTATGTGTCAAAGGTATCCATGTCAACCAGGAGATAGATTCCAGCGTCATCCAATGCCTTCATGCAGCCATCGTGCTTAGCCTTGGCATCCACATGGTAGACTCGGATTGTGTTGACACCCAATTCTTTCATGAGAGAAAAGTCTCGTTCGCATTGTTCCGTATCTATGAGCGGATCATCAGGCACAAGTTGGTAAGCAACGCCTGGTCAACAGCATTAGTACAACAGAAAGTGACTATAGCTCTCCTGTCACATAACTCGCCCTTGATAAAGAACTGCGTTCCATTTCTGGTGAAAAACTTGTTTCCGTAGGCATCGATAGGATCGAGAGCAGCAACTGACGCACCCAGGCCGAACATGGCCGTCCAGAGGGCTGCAGGATGCATTGTGTACCTGTCTGAGCCGCAAAGCTCGCGCCCATTCGAATGGAGGTGTTAAAGAGGTCGAGGCTGCTCGTCTGAGGGTGAAGCAAAGAAAAGCCAGTTTGGTCCAAGTCGCTTCTTGATTGTGATGAGAGAAGCAGAAGCCCAAAAAAGGTCTCGACAACCAAGTCTCACAGGTTAGCAACTATAAGCGAAATCCAACACGAATGGGCGAGCGTCGTGCAATGCGTCCTTGGTCCCAAAAGCACACAGAGCAATCTCGGGTGAGACAAGCACTCGGTTCCGTTGTGCGAGGTTTGGAAAAGAGAGAGAAACACACGGTCACTGGCAACAGAAAAGTCGAACCAACGAGGCGACGCAGACAACCAAGGCCGGCAAGACGGGTAGCCGCGATCACGGCGATCCGGAAAGAACAACGATAGCTACGGCAAGAACCCGCAATCGCGGCCAGCGCATGTTGGCTGTGACGACATCTAAAAACGAGTACAATCGCCCCGATCCAAGGCTGCTGCCACCGGCTGCTCACAAGAAAACGTCACCACATGCATGGATCTTCCCCAGACAGGGGGCTTGAGCCAGGAGGAGCAGTTCGGTTGGCCAGCCGTTCAAATCCCTAACCTAACAGGCCTCCAGAAGAATGTGCCAACAGACCCTGGAGGTTTTCATGGCGCTCTTGTTTGTTCCGCAAGACCATCGATATCAAAGTTGGCTGTCCATCCCTGGAGAATCTCCAAGATTAAAGAGGTCAATGCTGCGGGCAAGCCAGTGGATTGTGGCCCCTTGCCGGTCGACACAACAATCAATTGGTACTCCAATCATCAAACCAAGATCAGATGGAGAGCTTTGGTTTGGTCTATCTGGCACTCGTGTTTGTGTTGCCTCGTTTCGGGTAACCCGGCGTCTCCTTCCGAATTTCTTTGCAACTCGATTGCAGCAGGAAAAGTAAGAGCTAACCCGGTACCTACTCCGTACTAGGTAGGTGCTACGCTGTCAGCCTTGGCAGCAGGTGCAAAGCCCGTATTCGCCAGAAGCACTCAGCCTAACGTCATCCTTACTATTAGACTCCTAAATTACGGAGTAAAATGGAAGGGAAATGAAGGATCATTCATCAGTCGCATCCACACACCTTTTTCAGCCGTTTGCATCGTCACTCAATCACTTCTATCCAAGCTCGAATAACCCTTGTGTTTGTGTCTTATCAGGGAGCATTCAGTCCAGCAACTGCTTGGGAATTTTAACCTCTGATTCACTACTCCATTTCCAACATCGCGATTCTAACGCGCACAGCATACTAAATACGGAGTACGTCTCCGTGGATTGCCATTGTAGAGCTGCTGTCATATTATCCACTCACTCGTCTGCAACAGATCGCCTGCAACAGAGCCAAATTGCATAGCTCGAACAGAAAACTAGATATTCGCCTGCATCTCATCGCCAGCATTGTTCCCTACACGATTCGAATTATCGACTTCTTCGGTTTCTTGCTCGCCTCGTATAACGCGATTCTTCCAAAGTAGTCTGTTGCAAACGTCAGTTCATCAGCTACCAGATATGTCACAACGATGCTCACTCACAGGCTTGTCCAACAATCACCCAGGTTTCGTTTCCAGCCCTTCGGATCACAAAGGGACAACCGCACCCGTCAAAGAAGCAGACCTCATCTCCCGTTCTGGCCTCGATCGGAATCAGTCCAATAGCTCCCCTCGATGAGAAAAACATTCTACGGCCAATTGCCAGCGGTCTTAGATGTGCAAAGTATTCATCCTCTCGGCCCAGAATATCAGAAAAGGGAGTACCATCCGATGGCAGAAGCCTCTTGACTCTCTTTAACGTAGGATCATGGTCTACATTATCATTGTCCCATCGCTTGAAACGCACGCCATCCCGGTCACCGCCCTTTCGATATGTGTCCCCATCGCTATTTCCCAAAACATGAAATTGCCATTCGCTGTCATTGAAGGGAACATCAAACATTCTGAAGCACTCGTCTCTTGCATCCCAGCTCCCTTGTTCCTCCCACTCTTCGAATAGAGCGTCTCGGTGAGACTCATAGAATATCCGCCATCGCTCTGATATAGTGCGCACATCCTGATTGGACGACTCGGCTTCAATGTAGTCGTCCTCGTTGATGACTTTGACCTCATCAAATATGACACCATGGATATTGAGTCGAGCCTCATTAGGGACATATTCAAACTTTGCCACATCGTCTGGCGGGTTTCCCCAGTGGTTCACGAGACTCTTATCATGGCCATAATTCGTTTCTGTCAACAGAGGTCTTGAAGGTACTTCCAAGTCAGGAACCCACGACGGAAACCCGTTCGATCGAGCGGGATTCTGACAGCCCGACAGATAATCCAGATTTTTCCTCAGAAGACTCAAGGTTGTGTCTCTATACACTTCCTGTTTGTCCTTGGCATAGTCTGCTTGCACATCGGTTTCATCAGGATTCGTAAGCGGCAACATGGCGAATACTTTGTCTCGTGGATCGGTGGCCAGGCAATCTCTCCACTTCAACGCCAGCGCTTGTAGCTCGCCGTATGAGCCTCCGCGGCGACTTATCTCCTCGCGGAGCTCATACAATTCCAGGGCCTTGCGAAAGCAAGAACCGAAGGAGTGGGTGTCCCGTAGTCCATCATGCTGTAGAGCCGGCATGTGGTACTCGTCAGCCAAATACGTTAGCATATCGGCAGTCCGCATGACATCCTTCCAATTACACGTCTCGGCACCACAATGGAATATCACGTCGCTGGGAAGTGCTATTTCCTGTCTTATCCAAACTCGAGAAAACCACGGGCGTTGGTAGAATCTCATAATCGCTGCATAATTCTCCAGTTTCTCTTGATCTGACAATAAAGCGGTATCGTGAACGGGCAGCTTTACCATGGGCCGTCCAGGTCCATCCGGTCGGTGAGTCTGTCCCGCTTTCTTTGGAATGTAGTCCAAGACTCAATGTCTTCCGGCGTTTCTGGAATATAAGCCAAGTCCCTAATGAGCTTCGTGGCTTGCGTACTATTATCATACTCATCTCCAAGCCACACATGTACCATGTGGGCAACCCTGTATAGACGAGTCATAAGACCAACTTGACTACTTCTTTCGGCCATGTCATTTTGGTTGACGCAAATGGCATCAATCCACCAGTACGATTCAGCTTTGTTACCCTGAAATCTCTTGAAGGGATCCACAGGTGGTGGAACGGCCTTGCGAAAGTGTCGCAGGGCATTGTACAAAGAAGGCGTAACAGAAAACGAATGTCCATCCACAACGATCTGTTCCGTGAAAGACGCCGTTCCCCAGCAGTACGACAACGGGGTAAAGCACTCAATTGGCGACGATTTGAACATTGGGGGGGACTCGGGGGCGTCATCTAAGCTGGTGACTATCAGCCTACAGATTATGGGACCATCCGGAGGGCCAGCTGTGTCCAAAGCCAACAGTCGAATCTCAGAAGACGCCGCGTTCAAAGGTGAGTAAATGTACTGTGGCAAACTTGGCACATCTGCTACGGTGACCGATGGTTTTGATTTATTTATTTATTTGAGTACGCTAGAGCTTTTTTTTTAAAGCTATTCTAGTACATCAACCCGTATTTCAAGTAGGAAAACCCTCAGGGGAAGAAAAACCCACTTGCATTCGTAAAGCCTTCCCCGCCTTATACCACGTCATAATATAAGGCGCATTCCTTCTCGTGTAGGTTACAGGTACCAATCATCCGCTTTCGCCTATCCTTAACCTATTATCTTGATTTTTCTGCGGTGTATTATATTACGGCTATAATCCCCTCTGGTGTGTTAAGGCTCCAATCGAGTATCTGCAGGGATATATATCCAATAAGAAGCTAAGTTTAAAAAGGTACGTTTACTTACTATAATATTAAGTGATCATAAGTGTTGCCAGAAGATAGTATTTTACAAATCACTACATTTAACTTAGTACAGTCCTAGCGCGATTAACGGGTCGCCCTAAGGTCACCCGCTATCAGCATGTGCATTGTGGAGCTCGTAACCCCACTGGAGCCTTAACACACCAGAGGGGATACGTGCCGGCTCAATTTTCCCCTGCCCTAGAGCTCTGGGCCTGCTAGCCAATTTTTAAGGTGGGCTTGGCTTAATTCCACCCCTGGAACTCACGTGCCCAGGCACGGGTTAACCCCTTTTTTTCGGGTGACCAAGCCGAAAAATTGGGGGTGCCTCCGGCCGGGTTCGAACCGGCTCCCTGCTGGGCCAAGGCAGGGCTCCATAGCGTTTAACCACTACGCCACGAAGGCGATGGTTTCGATTCCTTGTCTGTTCCTGGTTTTGGCTTTGGCTTTGGCGGTTCCGACAGAACTGTAGTTTCTTGTGTTGCTGTCGTCGTCACTGGTGTCGCCGAGGGTGCCGGTCGACGCGCATATCGCTGCTGCAGCTCGGTCACTGTATATCCCCCTTTTTTGACATACTTGTCGGGCTTGGGAATATTTATTGCCTCAAGCCCGTACATTTCGTGAAGTTGAATCACCGTCTCCATGAGACCTTTAACCTGGTCTTCGAGCTCCACGATGCGCAGACTGGCGCTCAGTTGTGGGGGTATATCTTTCGACATGGTGTGATGACTGTGAATGACTGTGATGATGACGGTGCTGAAGACAGATTTCGTGGAGCAAATTGGCTATTGTGATGATTGGCTTCAGGTCCGCAATGTGGTAAGAGTTTGAGTTTACTTACTATAATATTAAGTGATCATAAGTGTTGCCAGAAGATAGTATTTTACAAATCACTACATTTAACTTAGTACAGTCCTAGCGCGATTAACGGGTAGCCCGAAGGGCACCCGCTATCAGGATGTGCATTGTGGAGCTCGTAACCCCACTGGAGCCTTAACACACCAGAGGGGATACGTGCCGGCTCAATTTTCCCCTGCCCTAGAGCTCTGGGCCTGCTAGCCAATTTTTAAGGTGGGCTTGGCTTAATTCCACCCCTGGAACTCACGTGCCCAGGCACGGGTTAACCCCTTTTTTTCGGGTGACCAAGCCGAAAAATTGGGGGTGCCTCCGGCCGGGTTCGAACCGGCTCCCTGCTGGGCCAAGGCAGGGCTCCATAGCGTTTAACCACTACGCCACGAAGGCGATGGTTTCGATTCCTTGTCTGTTCCTGGTTTTGGCTTTGGCTTTGGCGGTTCCGACAGAACTGTAGTTTCTTGTGTTGCTGTCGTCGTCACTGGTGTCGCCGAGGGTGCCGGTCGACGCGCATATCGCTGCTGCAGCTCGGTCACTGTATATCCCCCTTTTTTGACATACTTGTCGGGCTTGGGAATATTTATTGCCTCAAGCCCGTACATTTCGTGAAGTTGAATCACCGTCTCCATGAGACCTTTAACCTGGTCTTCGAGCTCCACGATGCGCAGACTGGCGCTCAGTTGTGGGGGTATATCTTTCGACATGGTGTGATGACTGTGAATGACTGTGATGATGACGGTGCTGAAGACAGATTTCGTGGAGCAAATTGGCTATTGTGATGATTGGCTTCAGGTCCGCAATGTGGTAAGAGTTTGATCAATCTCTTTGCCGTTATGTTCAGCGGGGAACAATGCTTATCTTACTAGTAGGGACCCCTTGTAACGATGCTGAACACGCGACAGGGATGGCAAGCTGGTGACGACGAGATGGGTAGGATTTAGAACCTCATCAAGAAACATTTCCTTTGTTTTGGGGTATGGTATTCTAGTGTAAGGGAGGATATTTGCGCTTATCTTGGGTTGCTTGAATAGGAGCGGGTCGCGTACTCAAGACGTAGTTGGCCTAAGCGATTTACTAAGTTATTGTGAAATTTGAAACTCCCTTGATACCCTCTGTGGCCTCTGAGACGTAAATTAAGATTAGTTCCTTTGTTGAGTAGTTCCCAATGACAGGTTGCAGTCTCTGGCAAGATGCATGTCCATCGGCAGGCACACGTTGATACTATTTACTACACCAGCGTAATGGGATACTTTTTGATCTTGTACATGATTGCTAGCATCTCACAGCCTACAATAACACAATGTGTTCAAAAAACAGAATAGTGCCTTCCTAGGCCAATTACTACTAAGCACTTAAGCTAAGACTATATTCCGGGGACGTACGGTGATGTGCCTTTTCCTCCGACTGTATACGCTAAAGATATGGCGTTGTTGACTCCAGATTGGAGGCATGAGCAGCCGACGAGAACCTCTTGCACCAATGGATACAGGTCGCAGGAATCGAATATTCCGAGCGAGCAAGACGCCTGGCAGTCATTTTCTCGCCGAATTTGACAAATCCAAATACCGGGTCTTCCGCAAGCAGGGCCTCAAAGGTAGGTCCTCACACATCTTCCCACCAAGAGAGAATAAAAAGAAACAAATGAAAAAGAAGATGGAAGAGAAACGACACAAAGTCTGAGCCAAGATCCAACCACTGCCGACATCCGGGGCCCCCTCTCTCCAACCCCAATCCAAAACCTACACAGCAGCGGCCCTAGTGATGTACTCTCGGTAGCCAGCAATGCTTGTAAAGACGGTAGGGTACCCCTTCTTGGGAGCGTCAAGACCAAACGACACAATACCAACCACCTTCTTGGTGCTGATTTCAAACAAGGCGCCACCGCTATCCCCGGCCCAGGTGTTCTCGAACTCGCCCCCGTCTCCGGCGCAAAAGTCCTTGGTCCCGATGCCTCCGTACCGCAGAAACTTGAACTCGCACACCCACCTGCGCACGACCTTTGTCGTCAGAGACCGCAGCAAGACGGACGGTTGCCCCTTGCCGGCCTGCGTTTGGCCCCAGCCGGCGACGACGACGTCGGCACCGGCCGCAGGCATGCGTTCCTCGGCATCAGCCAGGTCCGCGATTGCGACCTTGTCTCCGAGCGTGAGGTTGCGTTTGAGAGTGAGCACGGCGAGGTCGTTGCCGTGGTCCCCGCTCGGCTTGTAGCCAGGGTGAATCGTGATGCCGTTGACGCCGACGAGCTGGCCGCCGCGGGTCCAGTCGGTGCTGCCGGCGCGGACGACGAACTGCGTGCGGTCCGAGCCGTCGTCGTCGCCCGAGACGCAGTGGGCGGCTGTGAGGATCTTGTTCGGTGCGATGATGACGCCGCCGCACGTGTGAACGTTGAACTGGCAGTCGAAGGAGTGAACCCGGCGCTGGATCGACGCTTGGTATGGGAACTGGTCGATGGTGGCGTTGGTGCCGCCGATGATTTTCTTTGAGCGGCGCGTGGGCGTGGGCGAGGCCGTGGCAAGGCCGCTGGTGGCCAAGATGGTCGCCAGCATGGAGAACTTCATGATGAAGGGATGGGGTGGTTGGTCTGATATGTGTGGCAGAGTATGGTGTGTATGAGCAGGATGAGTAGAAGTAGTAAAGCGAGTAGGAGTGGTAGGAGTGGTAGGAGTGGTAGAACGAGCAGACGTGGTTGAGATAAGACGAGGAAATCCTGTTCATGGCAGACAGAGGAAATCAGACCTTCTTATATAGTCTGCCGGGTCTAGTACATCTGGAGTGACAAGACTTTCAACGAGCCGTCTAAACCAGCGTGGCGTTTCCGCTATAATTTGGTGGAAATCTTATTGCAACATAGCGGCAGGCGGACAAGAACGCAGTATGAGATAGTTGTTTGTCCTCCTTTTCTCATTTTTGCCGTGCATCATCCCGTCATGGAAGCACGTCGTTGCCCAGTCGTCTCACAAGTCCTGCGACATTTCAACAGCTGCGGACAACATATTTGTCCCGGAGTGACAACTTGACCGTATTCAGAAGGCGACTGTCAGGGTCTGAAACCCACGGTCTGCTCCAAGGCTCACGTCCTTAGTAGATGGCTAGCAAGACCGGTGTTGTGTTGCTGCCTCTTCGCCCGTGTCGCTTGGCTGGACCCGTCGTGTGTATGGATTCTTCAGATCCTCAGGGGGGGCTGTTGATAGTTCGCACTAGTGTATGTTTAATGAACCATATCCGTAATATGCATATGCTAACGTGCGGTCCTTGTGCCACGTTAGCCAACGGTCCGAATGTTATAGGGAAAAAGTGAAAGTAGAGTTGCGCCGAACTGGACTGTCTCGTTTTGTCGAGTCAAAGACCAGTTGAACTAAGACTCGACAAGAGAAATGGCCATGATATGCTGTCCATACTTTGACCTCTACATGGTATCTCACTCGACGCCTCCGCGTCTTGTTGGGAGCTAAAATCCTGCATCGTGCCTTTTCTAAAGCGCCAGTCGAGTTAAATCTCTCTGGTACGCATGTATCCGTCCAGTGTAGGTTCAATCGTGCAATCCATGTGGTGGCTTGAAAGCCTGCCGAAGATGATGCCGGTAATGCTCCTCTGTTCTTGGTCAATTCTCCTATCCATTCAAGGTGTTCACGGAATATCTCTCCATACCAGACTTGAGAAACATGGTGCCTTCCACAAAGGCTGAAATTAGTTCTTCACTCAATGTTCCCCTGTAAATGTATCGGCATATTATTCAACTCCCTTGCGTGTTCGCTCATCGCAGCGGCCCGAAGCCCAGACATGCATCATGCAAATACATCATCTTCATAACAGCGTCCAGCGCCTATCACAAAGCCTCCCCTACCTCTTTTTCAACCCATCGCTTAGCCCCTGCCTCCCAATAAACGTCCTCATTCCCCTATCCACACCTGCCACCCATCTCGCAAGAACCTGCACTCCGGCGGGCAAAACATTATACCAGTCCACCCACCGGGCGTAAAGCGGCATGCCTACTGTCGCACCCCTGCCATTATCAATGGCCCCGATGATCTCCTTGGCGACATCGACGGGCTCCACAACTGGGGCAAAGAAGCTATTCGGCGTCTGGACTCCATAGAATAGAGGCGTGCTCAACTGTCCGGGGGTAATGAGCACGGTTCGAATCTCAGGGTGCGTCTCGCGCAACTCGGCAGTCAGAGAGCGGTGCATGGCCGTCAGACCAGCTTTGGCAGCAGCGTAATCTGTCAACTGCGCAGCGCCAAGGTGGCCAATGACGGAGGAAATGTTGACAATGGTGCCGCCGCGACCCCCACGGATGATGGCCGGGAGGAAGGTCTTGAGGCAATAAAATGGGCCGAGGAGGTTGGTGGACAGGCTGGAGTCGATTTCGTCCAAGGTCAGATTGAGGAGGGACTTGCCAATGACGACGGCGGCGTTGTTGATGAGCACAGTCGGCGTTCCGAGCTATGTATGAATGATGCATCGTCAGTCAGGGCCTCGGGTCATCTTCACGTTTGTTCACAGGGATAAATACTCACGTCTCTCTCAATCTCGTCGGAAACCTTCTTCACCTGCGCCTTGTCGCCGACGTCACACTTGTAATAGGTGACGCCCTGCGCCTCCCCATTCTCCATCTCGTTCACATCCAACACGGCGACGCTTGCGCCCCTCATGCCATACACCTCGGCGACCAACATGCCCAGTCCGCTCGCACCGCCCGTAATCACAATCACCTCCTCGCCCAAATCAACCTCTCTCGGCAGTCCATACGCAATGCGCTGGTTGATCACGCCTGCCATCCAACACAGCGTGATGAAGGTCGCCCACGCTATGGATGCAATCATGCGGGGAGCTTCCCACCGGACGGTCTGCGCCCGGAAGCACAGCGGGATCATCCAGCAGACAAAAGGGTGCAGGAAGGTCACATTGAGGACCTTGACGATGAGGTCGATGGATAGAGGGGCGAACCAGGAGTCACGCTGAGGAGGGCGCGGATAGTTCCTTGAAGACATGCTGAGGCTGATGACGACGGCAGAGGCAGACGAGAAAGAATGGTGGGACGAGGCAAGGTGAAAAACTGGCGTGCGTAGAAAGCGCCAGGAGAGCCTTGACGGGAATGAATTGAAGGAAAGGGACCAAGAATTAACGTAGTCGAGAGAAGAAAAGTTGGGCAAGCTGGACCATGGCGATGAAGAGACTGGGCGTGTGGTGGAACATTTGAAACAATTCTGGCAGCATGTGAAGCACCAAGTTGGCCGCCAACGAGCCCCTGGTTTCTGGAGCTAGCCCTGGGCGGCGCTTCGCATCAGGGGCGGGACATCGACTGCCTTCAATGTTACAGAGGTTGAGAGTTCTGCAGGTGGAGGAGCTCAAGGACGTCACGGACAGCCAGCCAATCAATGGCCGAGTCTTGGAACATCAACTGTTCGCACCATGTTGGGGAATGCCGTGGCAGTATAGACATAACTTCACGTTGGTTTGCCAACTGATTGAAACAATCTATGCTAAATGATACACAAAGTAGCTTGTCTTTGACATAGATTGTAGAAACCGTATATTCCCCGAGAACTTCATCATCATATTGCCATGCCCTCACATAGCGCACATACAAGATGATGAACCACAGTATAATCAGTTACAAACCCCATGATGTCGCGAAACAAAGATATCCGGTATCCAGTTACCTAGAGAGAGTTTAATATCGTACAACACCATGGCCGCATCTACCCCCTCCCACTGCCGGCTTCGCTCCGACCCTCATCCTCACCACCAACACTCCTCGCACCGTAATTCCTCCTCGCCCTCTCAGCCTCCCTCTCCTCCTCCTCCCATTCCCTCTCCCGCCTCGCCGCTTCCTTCCTCCTCTCATGCCACGAGCTATCCCGCACAATCCCCTCCCTCCTCCACTTCCGCGGCGGCTTCACCCCAACCGCCGCCTTGCGCTCCCACACCTGCATGCCTCTCCTAAACCACCTCTCCTGCCTCTCCTGCTCTTCCTCCGCCGATGGTGTCCATTTGCTCTTGAGAATCCGCCGAATCGACTCCGCCGACACCTCAAACTTGTCCGCCAGCGCCCGCGTCGTATAGGTGTCCGGGAACTGCGCGTTGAGTGCCCGTATGCCCGCCAGAGCATCAGGAGACAGGCGTTTCCGAGGCTTCCAACCCTGGGGAAATTTTCCCTTGAGGGCTGCTTTTTGGCTCTGCCATTCGGGGGTCTTGGGCTGGGCAATGTTCGAGTCGGGAGATGGGTCGTGAGGTTTGGCTTTGTTGGGCCTGCGCTTCGGTGGTGACGATGGAGGTGAAGACTTCTCGTTTGTTCGAGGTTTGGATTGCTTTGAAGATTGAGCTTCATTCTCCATCTTCTTGTCCCTCGTTCGGTTCTCTCGTAGAGGCTTTGCCTCAGCCGCCGGCGCCGGCTCCGCCGTACCCGTCACATTTTCCCTCTTGTCAACCGCATCTTCCGCTGCGACGGCCAACCGACTAGTTTCTTGTCTCCAGTAGGATGAAGCGGTAAGCCCACGACTTTGACTCGAAACAAACCGGGGCACCGGCACAGGACGCCATGGTCGTGCTGTCCTGGTCGAGACCTGAAGGTTATGGACTTGCGCCAAGCTCTGCACGAATATTTTCCAAGGCGCTGCGCGGCATGGACATTTCATCGTTGCCCAAAGGGTTCTGGTCTGCACGGGTGCCCGTGTCGAACCCCTTTGTATGATTGGAGATGTTGGACGTTGCAAAGAAAAGTTGGGCGGACCGGGACTAATTTGGAGACGGGGCACGCGAATGAGTGGCAGGGATCTGGTGGGTCTGCATCGTCGGCGCAAAGTCTTGGACTTGATGCGGCGAACCTCAGGCCCTCAAGCTTCAGGTAACCTACAACAAACAAAGCAGAGGGATTCAAGTGACAAATAATCCAAAACCGGAAGTTACACTCATCGACTAATTAAATAGCTGCGCAAGGCAATATTTTTTATGCATTCTACGCTGCAAAGCACTGCAACAGAAAATTCCAACAGGACTTGTATTGAATCCTCGCCAAATAGCTGCATACTATACAACTCTAGAATTCTCCGTGTCAATAACCCACGTCCGGTTCTAGAGCAAAGACAACAATCGATAACCATGTTGCACTTCCTATTTTTCGTGCAATCCCAATGCCGTGGTCCCAAAATTTCGGGTGCTCCCTAAAAGACCTCGATTTGAATGCGCCATGAACCTGTCCCCCAATTACGCCTATGCTTTCGGTTTTCGCTTCTGATGCATTGTTCCCCTTTTAAACAAAAAGAAAAAAGAATCCCAGGAACGTTACGCATCGTGCATCAGCTCAACTGGGGGCCGGGCGGTATGTGCCATTATAGGTCGGCAACTGTCGATAGGGCTTATGGGTTCAGGCTCTTCCGTCATGTCTTCAACAAAGACGGCAGGCAGGTCTGGGCTGCACCCATTCTCCTCCGGACGGTAAATAAGGGTCGAGCTACGGCTTCTAGTGCTCCCACTAGCAGCAGGTCCGTCCACGGGGCTGATAGGGGACTCCGGTCCTGGGCGAGTGTTGTGCAGTTTAGACAATGCTTCAGCTAGGTCTTCGGCGTGCACCTGCTTGTTCGGAGCGTCTTCCAGGCGGAGCTCCCAGCCATGTGGAGGGCTGGGTGGCGGTGAGATGAAGAACAACTTCCCGGCATCAGGGAGAGCTAGATGCTCGTCCTTGGCCTCGATGTTCGTCTGCTGTCCAAAGTAGACTCTGCAGCGATCGCCAAGGATAGCTTCGCCATCCCAAACCTGACGGACAGCGATGGAGGAATCGATATCGAAGAAGGAAATGACAATGCGACGGAACGACTTGAGCGGCGCAAAGGCGTGGATAGGTGCTATCTTAGCAACCAGTCCTCGGATTCGCTCCAAGTTGTCTGGTCGGAAGATATCTGTGTTGTTGAGGCCGGTAAAGAGGAGGGTATTTGATGGCGGCGTGGGTTGCGTCAAAGGAGGCAAGTTGGAGAGGTCCAGGGTGAGGCCGGATTTGCGCGAGGCCGATGAAGACGACCGTGAAAGGCGAGGGGTAACATCCATTATGCGTGCAGATGTGGTTTGTGGTTTGTGAGTTGTTGTAGCGGTCAAGCCCAGATATGCCGAATGTAGTGGCAAGAGTATGATGTCGGAAGGCAGTAACGTATTAATGTTGTATATCGCGTGATAACGTATGGCGACGTTCCCGCTGGACGGCAAGGTAAGTTTTCAAAGTATTCTTATGGAGGTTAGAAATAGTTGATGACCACAAGAGAGGCCAGATTGGTCGAGGACAAAGGAGGAAGACGCCGTAGAAAGAATGTCCCAAGGTTGGTTTTGACGTGGGGAAGTGGACAATCCAGAGGCGGGAGGGGACGACATTGAAGTACCAGGTGATGCAAAGAAATGACGGAGACCCACAGGCCCAGCCCCAAAGTGGCAGTAGACATAGCGCGTGAGAGTGGATCCCTGGTGTGTCACCGTGTGCAGCTTTCTTGGCAAGTTTCCAGGGTGCTTTGGGTGCTGGAGTGCGGCGGCAGGGACGAGGGACGGACGGCGTCTGGTGGAAATTGACATTACAAAGCTGAAGCAAAGTGGCAAGCGCGGTGGCTGCGGCCGCCTGCGAGGGGAAACTAGTCGAAGTGGAAGGAGCGACGGGCTGTCGAACCACGCCAACAACCCGGCGGGCACGGCGATGGTGGCGGTACAACCTCAACCGTGTCGTACTACCGGGCTGTGCTGCAGAAACTTTTCATCCTGCGAACACGCCTGTCCGCTCCAAAGTACCCAACGGAGGCCGCAAACAATGCTAGCTGCATCGCCGCCTTTGCCACTCGGGTCACCACGCCGAGCCCCCCAATTCGGGTACAAACTTACGAGTAACGCTGGAAGGCTTCCAAGCTCCCTGCACAGTCAGATGTCTTACCTTGCTTGTACTCAGCAAGCCTACTAGGTACTACCTAGGTAGGTAGTACTATGCAGCCATGTCAGGGACGAAGACAGCTGACGAACTGCGCCTTATCCCCATAGACGCAGGGCTGTGCTCTTGGCCCGAGACAGCAAAAGCATCATCAGATCAGTCGGACACCCAAGGATGCCATAATGCCATGCCGGTTGGGAGCAAGATGCAAAAGAAAGAAAAAAATCTAGCGAGCCGAAACCATGAAGTGATGGGTTTCGTCTTGAGCATGGAACTCCCAGCGCCATGGTTGTTTCGTGCCGCTCTCCTGGGATCGAGGTGCCGACGCACATGCAATACACCGTATGTTGCAGCCCTAAAGCTAGATTCGAAGGCCTGCATTAGAAAGCTACAGAAAGCAGTAGGTGGGCAGTGGCATCTTCTTCGGTACCCCGAGGCAGTCGGTATCACTGCTTCCTGCAGACTGAAATGGTCGGTATTGCAAACGCTTTCGCAATGTGACAAATCAAGGAAGAGAAGCAAGCCCCATTTAATGCACAATAAGCCATTGTCTTTTACGACAGTCGAGCTTCTAATAAGTCTTGAGTTGCAGAAGCGTACAAAGGACCGGGTTCAAGGTTATATACTTGCTCGCCAGCTTATAACCACTTCTCAATGTCCCGGTACTTCGGGATTCCAAATCGAATCACATTGGGTTCTATTTCATGACACTACAGATATCCCAGGAAATTATCCACGCAATGATGACGCGTGGAGAATAGCAAAAAAAAAAAAGAGAAAAAAAAAAGAGAAAAAAAAAGAAGAAAAGAAAGAAAAGAAAAGCACCATTAATGTATACGCGGAGGCAATTATGCAAGTCTCTATATAACCTGACGATGAAGCAGCACACTCCATACCAGACATCAATTGATACATTATAAAATCTCACCACAGGTGGCTCATAAATGCCAATACCGCGCTTGTGGGTACGTGGCTCCCCCGTCGTGAATTCTTAACCATAAACACCAAACCGCTCCAACAAATTTACAGCATATCATGGTCACCAGCATTATCAAGGAAAGAGACCAGGATCTTTATGCCTGTCACCCTCCCTTTCCCATGACGACAAGTGACTCGAACATTACTAGAAATCTGATCTACGGTTTCGAAAGCTCCTGCGTTTCAGAGTTTGCCCCCAGAGGTTCTATACTCAAGCATGTCCCCCATGGGGGGGTGGGTTTCTACCAGGTCCAGAAGCTGATGTAAATGCGCCCACGACTTGGCCGGGAGAGTGTAGATTCAACTTCCCAGGCCTTCAAATGTTACCTTGGGTCATCTCTGGGGCTCAAGAATCTGTCGAGTTGCCTGATGCGGTGACGCCAGCTGCCAACGACTTCTTCCAGCCGCAGCCAAGGGAGTACGTACATACATATCGTGGTGCACGCACCTACTTTTATGCGCCATGCCCTTCACGACTAGTCTGATGCCAGCCGTGAAGTGATACCTGCCCTATTTGCGTCGATTCATGATCGCAGAGGAGTCACGGCTCCTAATTGACGAGGTAGTGTTGCGGATATAGGCGGCCTTGGCAACAGAAAAGCCTTGACTGAGCTGGGGATGCTTGTTTGTCGGGAGAGAACCGAAGACCGTGGCCTGAGCTGCTAGGTAAAGGCGGCCCTGAAGACTAGTGATATTTAACATCGGGACACAGAAAGTGTGATGGAGACTGTGGCGGGTGAGAGCGACTATACGAAGTAACTTGCCAAGCAGCAAAGCAAAGGCATCGTGAGATTACCGTGGCATTGTCGTATCAGCGACTCAGGTCTTTGCTCGGCCGGTTCAATAATACGAAGTACAATGGGGACATTTGGCGTACAAGACGTAGATGATAGAGACCCAGCCGGCTGCTGCTAATGCCATGGATGAAACTATTTAGCCAAAGCCCTTCACCCACTGTCCCGGCGGGGACACCAAGTAGTGGTTGGCTTTATAAAAGCGGCACTGTCTTCTGATCAGCTTGCCCTGTCCAGTTGTTGCCCTGTGGATTTTACATCGGCGCTAGAAGCGGTGGCAGCCCAGAGGCAGGATACCTATCATCCCAGCTGACGGGGAAATGGGAAAACGCCTAGGATCTAATTGTGGCTGATGCTGTGCCTCCTTTTGGTCACGATTCATCACCACCGCCAACATGAACCCTGAT